TTACAGTAATAATACTGTAAACATTTTTACAGTAAATTACTGGCAGCTGGTTACTGTAAAATTTACAGCAACCTATTTACAGCATTTATATTCATTCAATCACATTTATAAAACCATTCACGACATACTCATACTGACAAAGCTTCTTTCAAAAGTGCAACCAATTATCTACCAGAGAGCGGCTCATTCAACAGATAATTCATTCTCTCATTCATCTGCACAGGTATTCATTTACACATTCTTCGAGCATTTTTACGTCCACCACAAACACCATAAAAATGGAATGAAAGAGGGAAAGTAGCAAGCAGAAGAAAGGAATGCTTGAGAGTGTCTCCTGAGACCACAGACAGTCATGCGGTTACCTGTGTTCAGAATGAGAAAGCCATGTCATAATACAGTTAGAGATGAAGAGACGAGGTAAAAACAAAAGTGGGTCTTACCTGAAAGAAAAGCAAGGGAAAAGGAGAGAGAGGAAAGGAGGAGAGGAGGAAGCATGATGCGTGGTGCTCTGAGAGAAAAGTGAGTGTGTATCTCCTAGGCTGCTAGTTGCTTATCTGAGCAATGGAGAGACTCTCTCTCTCTCTCTCTCTCTCTCTCTCTCTCTCTGACTCACATCTATGTCACAAAGATAGTACTTGGACATGGAAACTTACTCTCTGCCAAACCAGCATGATTCCTAACACACACTCACACGTGTGTGCTTGCGTAAGGAAATCCATGTGCTCTGTCTATTATTTAAGGCATCCAGTTGCTACTTTCCTGTTAAGACTTTGTAGGGCATTAAGAGTCTTCTTAATGTTGACAACAGAAATGAGTGTCTGTGCATGTGTATATTTGTCTACAAGAGGCAGAAACACAAAGGTGGGATGTCTTGTATATATTATAAATTATCTAAAACTATGATGAAGACCTCTCTAATCAGCTCAGACCTCAGTGGAGATCCTTCAGGGGTGACTGACTGGAAATCCCTCTCTATCTCCTACTTCAACTCTGTGCTTCATTTGCATGACATAAAATGCACATTTGTATTGTCAAAGTTAGCTGTGTGTAATGAGAAATTATACAATGTAGCCTACTGTAAAATAAAGTAAAATTATAAAAACAAATAAAAATAATTAGGAGTGCAAAGTAAACTAACAAAGTGTCATATAATAAGTAATACAATTAAACAATTAGGCAAGATAAACTAAAGATGAAGAATAAGAATAGATGAGTAATAACGATGAGTGTAAGTTGGGAGTAATTGTCTCAGGACGAGGGTTACATTGTTAGCAAATTTCAAAGTCCCTTAGAAAGAAAAACTTCCAGGTAGCTAGACTAATGAGTACAACATAGCCATGTACTCAGAAAATACAGAGACGTTTCCTCACAGAGGCCATATTATATGTACTGTATTATTATGGTCCTCTATTATGGAATGCTCTACTGCTTGTCAGGAATGCCTCAATCTTAACCTGTTTCAAGATTTTTTTATTTAATCGATGTAGCTTTTCCTGTGTATTGTTCTTCTTCTTATTATTTGTCTCTTGTTGAGATGTTCCGTTTTAAATTTTATTGTGTGTAACTTTGGTGTGAGAAAGCTGCTTTATAATTAAAATGTATGTTTATTATTATAGTAGTAGTAGTATAACCAATCAGAAATAATTCACAGCATCAGCGAAAACGCCCTCTCATTATTATATCTCACTTACATCTGTATTTACTGTTATGTCTTTACTCAAATCCAGTTTACAATGAGAAGATTTCCGCACACGATTCTAGTGGGCTACTTTTTAAAATCCACAGCGCCATCTAGAGGAAACCAGGCTAAAGACGCGCTGGCCGCCGCAACGTCATCACCGGGCGACAACAGTAGAGTAAACAAGCCTGAAACCACACATCACATTCCGAATTTAAAAAGAAAGTAAGCGGAATTTAAATATGCCCAAAGTGGTGTCTCGGAGTGTGGTGTGCTCGGACACCCGTGACAGGGAGGAGTATGATGACGGGGAGAAACCCCTGCACGTGTATTACTGCTTGTGTGGCCAGATGGTCCTTGTTCTGGGTGAGTAACGTTAGCCACATCAAGTTTCAAGAGTCATGATCGCAGCCGGCCAGTAAATCACTGTTTACATTCAGCGAACAGTCGGTCACCAGCTGTCATACTATCCGAAATGTAAGAAATCATCGTGTTTCCAGTGTTTAACATGGTCTCTCACCCCATCGACGCGACGAAACTCAACGCTTGCTGTGTGGATAGCTTCACTGATTATAATGGGAACTCTCTAGATTCGTCTTGCAGTGTGTGTTTGGGTTGTGTTTAGGCTTGGAGTGCAGTTTTGGGGGTGTTTCTGTTGTAAACGAATCAGTGGTTTTGAACGAATCTTCGTTCACTTCAATGGATGGACTCATATTTAGTTCACTGAAATAATTTCCTTTTGAAGCACGTAGGCTAACTGTTTGCTATTCGATTGGAGCAGAGTAAAATTATATATAATTATGACTTATGAACATACAGAATTAAAATGACCTAAAAGCATTGTGTGTAGTTTTCTCTTATTGTTTTTTTTAGCTTGATAACAGTTATTTGACAGTAAAGGCAGTTGACAGTGGAGGTAAACGATAATAGCTCTTGCTTTGATCCTTATAATACTTAAACAGTCTTTCTGCAGTATTGTAGTATTTTCGAACATACACATTTTAATGAATAAGCATATGACTTCTTTCGAATCTCAGTGACTTTTTATGAATCGGTTCAGTAAATGATTCAATGACTCAGTAAATAAAGACAGTCACTTGTCGCCAGCTACTGGTTTAAAGGGGTCATATGATGCGATTTCAATTTTTCCTTTCTCTTTGGAGTGTTACAAGCTCTTGGATAAAGAAGATCTGTAAAGTTGCAAAGACTAAAGTCTCAAATCCAAAGAGATATTCTTTATAAAAGTTCAGAATCTGCCACACCTACCTAAAACGGCTCATTCTAACACGCCCCCACATGTCTACCTCACTATGTGGGAAGATTTACATAACGCCGCCCAAATGTTCACGCAAAGAAAGAAGGCGTAACTTTTATTCTCGCTGTAGTATTGTTGACGCTGCAGCCGTGTCGTGAAGACGTCGTGTGCTTCGTTGTGAAAATGAAACTACTTTGTTTGGTCTTCCAAAAGAGGACGATATCCACTTCGTCATGAACACCCCTATTTTGATTACTCTGCCCCACACGTACATACACAACCCTGGAACCGAGGATGGCAGAATCTGCTATGCTTGCTTGCCAGCCGAGGGTATGGTGTCATCGATAAGTGAAAGCGATGTGTGTTACTATGGTAATTCAACGTAAAAATCAACTTAACTCGCCTATCAAAAAGAAACAAAGCAACCTCGCCGTTCGATTCCAGGCCTTCCCGCTCCTTGAGTTCTCTCCACCGCTAGAAATCTGCTAAAATATTTACACGGTCCTACCTCTTGCCTGATCGTAACCCTTCTTTTTCATGTTTTGTTCCTCCTAAATTTTCCTCTGTTTTAATCTGCCATTTCTCGCTATCTATAGTCGATCTGCTAATATCCGTCCTGTGCACTCACTGAGCGCTCTCTTCTCTCTATCATTACTAGACACACCCCTTACTGCTAATTGGCAGCGAGTGTGTTTTGGGACTCGGTCCGACACTGCGGTCAAAAGCGTTTTTCAAATATTGCTTAGTGCACCTTTAACCTCAGTGTGTTCTCCTCACACATGTGTCTACACCTAAACTCAGTTGAATGTGTGAACAGGGAAACGCTTTTAGAGCAGGCGGACTGATATTTCACACAACAGGACTTTGTCCCACTCAGCCTCACTTATGCTGTGAATATTGTAGGAAAGGTGTCATTTTATACCTCTGGCGCTTCAAAGTGTGTCCTTTGGCTTGTGGACGTGACATGAGATGCAGTTTTTTTTGGGCATCTCAAAGCACAGGAACATCTGTGTTCATCTGAGTCCTGTTTCAGAGTCTGTCTAAATATCAAACTCCTGCATTCAGCACATAGACACTTGGTTTAATATAAGTATTAGTTAACGGTTTAGTCTAGAGCAGTGTTTCCCAACCTTTTTTTAGTCGCGGCACCCTTTGGAAATTTTAACAAACTTGTGGCACCATACAAAAATAATTTTATCACAATATTTGAATTAGAAAAGTATAGATATTCGGTACAACGGGGAAGAACTGCAGAATATAATGTCATACAGATATTTTTAATATTATTTACAAAAATTTGTCTGTCAATGGTGTCAATCAGTAGGCTAATTTCTAATGAAGAGACCAATTTATATGACAGATTTTAATGTAGGCTTTTGTACATATGTAAACGTTATTTAATTACCATTATAACTAGCTATCTCACAAATTTTTGCTCACTCAGTGTTTTTTTTTATTTTACAGTGGGGTAATTTTGGTGAAGTACCACGAGATAGCTTGAATGACAAGTAAGCAGTCAGTAATAAAATAAGAGCAAATAAAGAAATTAATAATGATAGCACAAATAAAAAATAACGACAGGTCTTCGAATTAAATAAATTGCTTTTTAGTTTTTCAGGTAGGTCTAACAGTAGGGTTAAGATATTTAACTTTATTATTATTTTTTTTTTTACCAATTATACAAATAATGTTTAATCCTAGAAAGCTATTATTATCAGAACACGCGAGCATAGCGGTTAGCAGATCAATGAATGAGAGGGCAGCGTTACCAGAGTTGCCCATTTACCACACCTTGTTACAGCACAGTAGGGCTATTGCAGACAGAAACAATACTGTACTACATAGATGTTTCCTGTCAGCTCGATTTTTGAGTGGACTTTGCTGTTCTGATGAGCATGAACGGTATATGAGTGGAGCACTCACATGGGCCGTGAGCGACTGAGCGGAGCACACACACATAGAGCGAGATAATACGCAGAGCGTCACACCACGTGAAAGTGAAACCTGAGCGGTGAACTAATTTTCGGCAGCCGAAATTTCGGTGCATCTGTAATTATTGGCGACATCAGAAATGGATATTATTAGGGATGTAACGGTATGAACATTTTTTATAATGATTATAGTGACCAAAATTATCACGGTTAATATTATTTAAAATATTAAATAATAAAAAATATATTAAATAATATAGTATTATCACGGTATTGTTCAAATGTGCTGGAAATGTTCAAAAAGTCCTGACACAGAAATCATTTCACCAAGTTTTACATTTAAAATCAACAAACAACAAATAAAATGAGTTTTTGTTTGCATAACTAAAACAATAACATTGCCAATGATGTCCGGATTTTAAATGACAACATGACTGACAACAGTTTATCTAATAGCATGTATGTAAATGTTCAAATAAACCGTTGAAAAAGTTTCATAAAAGGTAAACCTCACATTTCAGCTTTTAAATAAAGAAAAGGGTCAAGTCAAAATGATAATTGATTAATAAATGATTATATGTATTTATCTGCTCCATAAATAATACTAGTTACCTTATTGTTTAAATGTTTAGAATCCACATAAGCTTGTTTTTCATCAACCGGTCAAAATTTACAGCAGGGCATGCTAATTCGGTCCGTTTTTTTGATCTACACACCTTTAACTTTTTAAGACTAAAACAAAAGATGGATTCATTGTTATACTTGATTAAAAAGCATAACAACAATAAAACGGTAAGATACAATGACAAACTAGCTTATAAAACGTTTATTAACAAAAACGAATAAGACGATCGAGGCATGGCATACACCACATGCTGTATTATATACCGACTAATAAATTACAGAATGTTTAGCAAACACTTTTGCATGCGATTAATTGCACAGCCCTAAGTCATACAGCTTTGGAATGACATGAGGGTGAATAAATGATGACAGAATTGTCCCTTTAAAAATGTCTGTTCATAGCTACATTGCAATGAATTTCAACTAAATGTAACATATTTCAATAGTGCATTGTGTACAATCAATACAGACTAATACTGCAGACATCTGAATGTCTAGTTAATATCTATGGGGAAAGGTCAGTGAGACCATTGGTCGATAGGGCATCACATTTCTGCTTTAAAAGAGAAGGTTTTGTCTGTTGGCTCTGCAGTGTGTGTGCTTTGTTTGAGAAGTAAAGAGAGAGATAATTAAGCTCCCATGTTCCTTTTTAGACTGTCAGATAGAGAAATTACCCATGAGGCCACGGGACAAAGCCAGAGTGATTGATGCAGCAAAACACGCCCACAAGTTCTGCAACATGGAGGAAGATGAGACTGTGTATTTGAAAAGGTGTGTGTGTGTCTGAGTTTGTGTTGAAATTGTGCATTGAGGCATTGATTAGGATTCACTAACCTCTGTATGTCTCTGTGCAGGTCAGAGGGCATCGAAAAACAGTTTCGCAAAAAATGTGGGAAGTAAGTAAGCCCACGTGCTCATTTCACAATATCTCACAACACACATGACATGCAGCAGGCATACAGAGTGCACAATATCTAATCATATACTGCATGAAATGTGTTAAGTACAAACACAATTATATATCACTTGGTTAAAGCATACAGTTTACTCAATAGTAGCTTAAACTTATTATACACCACGGCTCTCTGCAATAGTTGATTCTGCTGTCAAATATTTTATATTGGCTAATGGCTAAACTGTACCATACATTACCATTCAAAAGTTTGGGTCATTAAGAATAAAAAAAATAAAACTTTAGTACTTTTATTCAGCAAGGGTGCATAAAATAGCTCAAAAGTGACAGTAAAGATATTTATAATGTTACAAAAATTTCTATTTCAAATAAATGCTGTTGAACTTACTATTTATGAGAGAATCCTGAAAAAATATTAAGCAGCATAACTGTAACAGGATAACATAATAATAAATGTTTGCACCAAATTAGCATATAGAATGATTTCTGAAGAATCATGTGACACTGAAGAAAATTCAATTTTGCCATCACAGGAAAAAAAAATAGAAAACATTTATTTTAAATTGTATTAATATAATTATTTTAAATAGTAATTGTTCACAATATTTCTGTTTTTGCTGTATTTTTGAGTAAATGCAGCCTTGGTGAGCATAAATCTTACGATCCCAAACTTTTAAACAGTAGTGTAATAAAATGATTAAATCAATATTCCATGTCCATTTATTTATTTAGTAAGTAGGATTGTAATAAGCCGGATAATGTAGGCATAAATAATCCCCTTCAGGATGATACATAACTGGCTGACTTCACAATCCAATACATATAATTTAACCTTGCAATTTATGACTCTTTTTATGACCATGAAAACCATGGTCTTTTCCAGTCATATAATCTCCTGTCCATAAATAAGCATGCACAACAGTCAGTCCCAAGCTTCCCGTGTCGCCATGACGACTCTGCCATGCTGTGCCCAAGAGGCTGACGTTAAAGGCTTCGAGAATGCTTGTAGAATGTGCTAATTATGTGTGATCTCAGCATTTTTAGCAAGTTTGATTACTGTCCGAGTCAGCTGATCTGACTATTCTCATAAATCAACTCTGAAAGTGTCTCAGGTTTGAGAAATTTGTAGGCGCTGGTTTTTTTTTTTTTTCCTTAAAAAAACTGTTTTAACTGTTTTGTGTAGGTGTGGTCTGCTCTTGTTTTATCAGCATCAGATGAAAAGCACTCCAGCGACGTTCATCGTGGATGGAGCGCTGGTGAAGTTCGGCCAGGGATTTGGCAACACAAGTGTATACAGCCAGAAACAAGAGGCGCCAAAGAAGGTCAGGGTAAGACAACAAGTTTTTGTTTGAAAAGATGTGAGAGAATTGCAGAATATGAGGTCAACAAGTTTGAGTAATATATGTCTGTGTTGTAGGTTATGATGACAAAGCGCACCAAAGACATGGGCAAGTTCAGCTCTGTTACTGTTTCAACCATCGATGAAGAAGAGGAAGAGATTGAAGCGGTGAGTCTAAGTTCATCAGCCTCCCATCAGGCCTGACTCAACCCTTACGATGAACTCATTTGACCTTATATGATAAACATATGACCTACAGTATGACTGAACACACACACGCACACTAATTCTTTTTTTCATGTTTATGCTTACAGTAAAAACAGTAATAGAGTGAAAAATCATAACAATTCAAAAGCAAGAATTCAAACTGCTTACATTTTTGTGGAAACTGTGATACCTTTTTTATTTTTTTTCAAAAGAACAGCATTTATTTGAAGTAGAAATCCTTTGTTGTAACGTTATAAGTGTCCTTACTG